AAGTTAATTATACTTCTTATTATCATTTCTAGCTTACCTATGAAAATCTCTAAAATTTCTTCTTCGTTATTAGTACTTTCAAAATTTGAAGAATGAGGAAAAAATTTTTTGAACTAAATGAATGGTAGGATAAATTTGCAAATAAGCATGCCAAGATATGTTTAATCATGCTAATAAAGCTTCCAATAATAAAATATAAATGAGTGGAAGTAGGTAAGAGTGTAATTATTACTTGTTTAATGATGAAATAAGAACAGGTTAATTAATTTTACATATATGTTTTTTTCTATTCTTTTACATAAGAATATTCGTTTTTGATTTTATTCAATTATTAAAGATTGAGATTTTCTAATGATTATACATTTCTCATCAAGTACAAGAGATATTTGCAATTTCAAAATGTCTCTCATTCTATAATAGTATTTTATAGTATAAAACCTTAACTGATTTTTTGCTGAATAATATTTTACTAAGTAAGCAATTTCAAAATATCTCTCATTCAACAATAATATTTTATAGTATAAAATCTTAACTGATTTCTTGCTGAATAATATTTTACTAAGTAAGCAATAGAACACTCTTTCTGTGAAATTCAAAAACAGTCGAAAAATGATAACGAAATTAAAATGAATAGAAAATTTAATTCAATCAAATTTGTAATTTATAAATTTAAAATTAATTCAATTTTAAACAAAATTTTAGAAAGATAAAAATCTGTTGAAAAAAGAGAAAAACAAAAATAATTGAAGAGAATCGAAAATTTCATGGCTGTCATTTATTTTTCCTCTTTAAATGCAAGCATTGAGAAAAACAAAATAAAAAGGGAAGATAATGAAGTTTTTAAAAAAGCTGTCATTCCAACTTTTCAAGTGTATATGAAAATTTGCAATGAAATATTAAAATTAAAATAGATGAGATAGGATAAAAATGGAATGATTTGAACATGGAATGGATAAAGTTATCATTTATCACTCTTATTTCATAATTAATGTAAGTGATAATTTTATGATAAGAAAGTAAAGTTTATAATTCAAGAAAATGTGGAAAATTAATTATAAAATTAATTAGGAATAATTGTTTTTAAAATTTTGCTATCAGGCTACTAATTTAATTGAGAGTTGATAATTTAATTGAGAAGTTATTAATTTAAAGTTATTAATTTAATTGAGAAGAAATTTGAAATTTTAATTAAAATTGAAAGATAATTTCTTACTCAGTTTTTTTCTAATAATGAAAATAAAAAGAATTTCTTTCGTTGATGGCTTATTATTTTTTAATTTAACCTTTTTATCCATTTAACAAAAATTTAAATTTAACTTTTTCTTTGACAAATAGAAATTAATATTAATAATACATTGGGAATTAATGATAATAATAATAATACATTAATAATAATAATACACAAAAATAATAATAATAACAATAATAATAATAATAATAATAATAATATATTAATAATAATAATACATAATGATAATACATAATAATGCGTAATAATAATACAGAAATTGCATAAGCCACATAATTTTCATTACGAAATATTTCGAAATGGATTATTATATGAAATTATCGACACTATAATAGCTTCATCTCAATTATTTGTATTATGAATAATATATAAACTTCTGAAATACTTTTAATTATGAAATGGATGTTAATCAATGTACAGAAAAAGTTCTCATTAATAAATAATGAAATTAATAAATGAATAAATAAGTGAAATTAATAAATAATTTAACTTTGATATTTGGAATGATTTGCTATTTCAAAAAATTCTTTTTACATTTTTTCCAAAAATCAAAAATAACTTAAACAAATGGATTTTGTGGTAGAAATAAAATAGGCATAAAAAGGCAAGTTCCTTTTAGGTTCTTCATAAAGTCTAATATATAGAAGTCTAAAATCTTTTAGCAGCCATATTAGTTTACTACAAACTTAATGGAAGAAATTAATTGCTTTAACAGCCTAAGCTCAATTAGAAATTGAATGGAAAATGCTTTTCATATGACTATATGACATCAATTTATTTTTGAATTCGTAATTTTCATAGTTATTGATTACACCAACGAATATCTGATTATGTGTCATGCAATATCTGACTATGTGTTATCATGCAATATCTGATTTTATGATTATGTATTAGAATATCTGATTATGTGTTATACCAACGAATATCTGATTATGTGTCAATTGAAGACTAAAATATTTTAAATTTTTCAAAATTCTTATATCATACAAAATAAAGAAATAAGAATTATAATAATTGTTCTTTATGGCCTCAATAACAAATTTAATTTTTTTAGTCCAAATTATGTATAACTCGGGAGAGTGCTGCTTATTGTTATTATTTGCATATATTTTCCTCTACTCTTCATAAAAGCCATAATGATAAAGCTCTATGAAATCCTTTATTACTTATTTGAACGGTAAACCTTCATGGTATATTTTTAATTAGAGGAGAAGATTTCTCATCACTAAATTAAATGGAATTTGTAAAAAGCTTTGCATCTGTTTCTCATACTGCTCGGACGAAAATTTACTTCTGATTTTATTGTAAGAAGTTATGACAGTTGGCTTACTATGCGACTGAACCTTATGATAAATGAGCTTTTCATCCTTCCAGAAAGTATATTAGGAAATTATTGCTTTTTTTAATACTTTGATTTCATTATATTTTCTATTAAAGCAAGATAGTTTTTGGCATATTTTCTGCTTTTCTAATCGTTAATGACAATGATAAACATGGTAGTATTCAATGTTATATTGTATTTGGAATAGTATTTAAATAAAATTAAATTAGGTTTTAAGATTTTGTGATTGGATTAAATTACAAAAAGAGCTGGTTTTATTAATGAATTACAAGTTTTAAATTACAATACATCTACCATCAATAACTTCATCCTTGAATACAATCTGATCCAATATGATTTGCATTGTGGGCTAGATGTGCCATTTATACACTTCGTAGTGTGGATTGCCTTAACTGGTTCTGTTCCGTGTAGTGTTTCGGATTTTTATTATTCAGCTTCCGAAGTTGGTTCTCATTTTTAGAGATATAGCTCGTTTGATCTATGTCAGAATCTTCTCTTTCTTTTCATGTTATGATCCATCTGAATATATTTAGGTCATGATACTACCATCCAATACCATCACCTGTTTGATTACATTCAGTTTAAGATATTACTTTCTCATGTTATAATTGATTTGAATACATTGAGGTCATGATCATATATGTTCAAGCGAGTTACTCTTATTAGGCTTTCTGACAATTACCATGAATAATAAATGGTTTATTAATGCGTTTTATTAATTAGGAATATTTCAGTACAAAACCAATGTGGTATGAACAATTTTATTCGAGTGTGCTAACAGTTGGTTGTGTGGTAATAACGATGTTTACTATGCTACCAGTCAATCTTTTGGAAACAGGCCATGCACATCGTCGATATATGAGTAATTATATGTATGCATTTTGTCCGCTTTCTTTTTTAGAGAAATATTTTTATGGTATTACACTACTGGACTGCGTGTATACATTTTTTGTTGTTTGTGGAAGTTGTTTCGAATAGTTCTACTGAGATGCTAGTTAATGTTAGTGCATCAGAAAAGACACTCATGTGAACAGTAAGTAACGGGGTGAAATATAAACTTGTGCTAAATTATTCATTTAAATTTCACTCATGGCACTGTAATAAAATAGCTATCTGATTTTTATGATGAATGGGGACATTTTGAAATTTGACAATGTTGCTTGGGATGTTTGTTAGTTTTATTTTATTATTGATAATGAACACGTAAATAATCAGAACAGATTGAACGATTAGCAAACAAATCACAGAAACAGAAGATTATTCACCATTTTCCTCATTTTTTTAAGGATTTTTCAAAACAAACGAGATTGGAACTTGACAGGCAATATGTACAAAGTTCAAGGACTTGAATCGATTCCATCCGAATCATGTTCGTCGCAGTAGATTCTTTGTGATCACGTTTACGTACTTTGAATATATCTATTAACTGTGCACTGTGTATGGTTCAATAGTTCATGATGTAGTGCGAATTTGTAGAAATGTAATAAAATTGAATTAGTATAGCTTCTTTGAAGCATTGTTTTTCACCAACACATATATTACTGGTAAAAATTCACGCCTGAAACATCTTGAATTTGAAATATGATGCACTGCGCGTATAAATTATTAAGTAATGAAAGTATCATTTCAATTTGCTCATGGAGTTGGGTATAATTAGATATTTATTTCTCCAGACGCAATTATTCGGTTATGAAGTTTAGTGAAGAGTTTTGCAAAACAGTCAATTTAATTGCGACATGATGTTTTGGGATGATGCTGACCTGTGAGAGATTCGTTGAGTAGATTTAAAAAAATTAAAGGATAATAATGTATGTAATTGGGATGTATTATTGATTTTGAAAACAGTTATAACATCGTTATAACAGAAGGCTAAAGAGGATTAGTCGGCAAAGTAGTTGGTTATTTTGGTGAATGCACGAGTTATATGAACAGTTGATCTTTAAATATTACATTTGAATTCCACATCATATGTTGATTTGACCCTTTTAAGGGAAATTTGTTACTGCATCTTAATTTTGGTATGGGCGAGGTTGATCGATAGAATGTATGATGAGATGACGTTGTTATCATTATGTGCCTAAAATTATACTCAATTTTCTTGCTATATGTATGTTCTATGTGCTATAGCTAAACCATGTGCCAATAATTTGCGAAGAAAATTGTTTATGTACTCTTTGTACTTCGGGATTGTACCATAAAATTCATTCTTTCCTTATTTAAAAAAGAGGAATTCATCGTTATAAATTTTAGATTATTAATGGAAGCGCATGCTGTCTTACGTTCAAAAATCGAATGTTTAGAACCGTTCGTAATATCTGGATGTATTAGTGATTGGAAAGCGGTTGGATGGACACATCAACGATTAGCGGAAATTGTAAAACCTACAGAAAGAAACGGATTTTTAAGGATACGATTAGGTCCGAAAGAACATGTAAGAGGAAAAGTTAGTTTCAATTTTTTTTTATTTTTGCATAATAAATATGACAGTGGTGAAATTAGTTAAATTCATATCAGATAAATGAGCATATATATTCGAGACATACTTGATGACTTGTGTAAATAACGAGTGCAGGGTGTTATTCTTAATGTTAGAAACTTAGGCTTCTTTTGGAATTTATATAAAATAAAATTCATTTGGTTAAATGAGTTAGTAAAATTAAATTGATAACTAAAATAAAGCAGCAACTGTGCACGTACACTTTGATTTACTTTCATACTAAGAAGTTTAATTTATAAAGAAAAGTTGAGAAGTGTTAAGGAAGCGCTGATTAGAGTCGTATTAATACAGATTATATTCGAAAATGAATCAAAAATGGCATACGTCTCCAGTCTGGAACAATTCTTTAAATGGTTCAGTGGTGAAGCAATAATGAAGGCAGACGATCAGGAAATAGTAGATAGAGCAAATCATTGGGGATATTTCGATTACAATTATGTTTTCGATATTATGGATCCGGAAAATATCGACGATATCAATTGGCAGCATCTTGGATTGGATATCAGTCCTGTTGACTCGACCATTTGGATTGGTAATATGTTTTTGTAATAAGCCGGCTGAATGAATTTTACGCTTTGCAAGTTCATTGAACTAATTCCGGGTACAGCAACTAAGAGTTTTCAACAATTGATTAATATCAAAGATAATGTTAGCTTGGAATTTGCTTACTATATTTTTAACTGTTTTTTGGTTGATCTGAATATTTTTCATTCCGTTGGTACAAACAGAGGTCTTGAATTAGACCTGGACAAAACTTGAAAGTTTATATTTCAGGAACACCAGGAGCTTACACTCCGTGTCATTATGATTCATATGGTTATAATGTGCATGCTCAACTTTCTGGATCAAAACGATGGATTCTGTTTGGGCCAAGCGAAGATATGAAACCAGTTCGAATTCCATATGAAGAATCCACTGTTTTCAGGTTTGGATTTCTTTTTCCTGCTCTTCTTCCTTATTTTTTTCTTGTTAGAAAATTCTCACTCTGAATCATATATTCGAAATAAGTAAGGTCCGGAACTTTGTTTAAACTGAAATTGGAATCCTTAAAAGTTAGATTGCTATTTCCTTGGGCTGTAATGATATTATTTCAGTAGTTTGGATGTCATTGGTGCTGATAATTCATTGCAAGGAAAGAAGATAAGAATGGCTATCCTGAAAAAGGGTGATGTGATATTTGTACCTCCTGGTTGGTGGCACTGTGTTCAATGTATCGGTGTCAATGATAATGAACATGATCTGAATAATATCAGTGTTTCCGTAAATACGTGGATACCATTGGTTGATTACGACCGAATTCCTCGTTTACAAGAAGCCGCTACGTCTACTATGGTTTAAATTTTTCTTTCTTAATGCTAAAGTCTATGGAATTAAAGTTTCCAATTATAAACTTGATTGTATGAATTTTTGTTTTAATAATATTTTGCTGAAATTATATTTTTTGTTTTAATTATATTTTCTTAGGTTGCCATTCTTATTCGGTCCGGTTTAATTAGTTCGAAACAAATTTGTCCATCAGAAACAGTGGGATGCTATGATGATTCACTGTGTGATTTTGAGAAATTATTGAAGGAAGCGAAAAATGAGGTTAATATATGTCTTTTTTTCTAATGAGCAAAGTATTAGTAACTTCAACATTGGCAATAAATATTCTATTATTTTCGAAATAAATCTCCTCTTGGCAACTCTATTTCACTTAGCAATATAACATTGTTAAAACTGGAGGTTTTAAAACTACGGCAGTTGAGAAAAGCGATCGAACATATTTAGTTCGAAGTTAAGATCTTAACCGTAATCAACACTACTTTGTGACAGTACTACAAGTTGACATTTACAATTCAAGAGCTTTAATAATGAAATAATTCAAGAGCTTTCAGGCGGCAAATGATGAAAGTTTACATCGTTTGATGGATTTTATAGAAAAACAGAAAAAAAGGATGACAGTTTTACCAACTGTTTTGTTTGATGTTTTCCGCGCTGAACAAGAGAAAGGTCCTTTGAAAATTGTGGATTCATCAGATAACTCTTTGTATCCTGCCAATCTTACTGCTTCATCGTCAAGTATAACCTCATTTCAAAAATATTTCATTGATTCTTTGTTGTCAGAAAAAGTTCTGACAACATTAATAGCGCAGTTACAGGGATGGATTTAAAACAAATACCTTCGATAAAAATATCATGTATAAAAGACATCAGTTTATTTGATTAGCTGATAAATAGAATCTTCTATGGGAACCGTTAAGTTTTTATCAGAAAAGGTTTAGTAACATTATTAGTGTAGTTACAATAGATTTTTTAATAAAATTTGGAATCCATACTTTCACTATAATTTAAGAGATAGAAGATAAGCCGGTTTCTTTGTCCTTTTGAATTTATTGTGTTCACAAGTTTATTCTATGCTTTAGAAATCACAGCTTGAAGGTAAATTTTCCGATGTTTTTGTAGCCTTATTGTTTGTATTATCGTCTGATATTTTTCATGTCTAATATTTTACTTGACTATGAGGGACTACCTACCTCAATGCAGTGTTGGACTAGCAGTTGGTTGTTTACTTTTTATTTATTTCGCTATTTTTTACGCCTCTTTTAATACATATCCAATATTAGTTATGGTTAGAATTATAATAAGTAAGTTCAATCTCCAATTTTTTGCCATTATTTTCGTTACATAAGTTTGTACAAAGTAAAATATTTCTGTACAATATTTGATTTTCCACTATATTTTGGTTTAGTTCAAAATATTTAACTTCTTGTGAAGCCTTCGATGTAATAATTTAATATATATTTTTAAATTCTAAGTTTTTTATTTTGGAAAAAGTCCTTTTTTAAAAAATTTTTGCTATTAACATCTTGTCTCTGTTTTATAGTATTTATTATGTACTTTTTATTGCTGCTTATTATGTTTCCGATAATTGGTCGTTTTATTGCTATACTGATGCTAAAAAGCATCTATAACGTTTGCAGTAAGAAATAATATAGTATCGACCTTAAAATTTTCAACAAATGAATTCGTGCTTTAGATCTTACACGGTGAGAATTTTCGAACCAAATTAAAAAATGATAAAACAATAATATTAAGAACAGAAGTACTCATCTGCTTATAGTTTCAAAGAATAGTTTAAAAGTTTCTAGATTGTATTAAATCAGTGATAATTATTGGAAGATACTTGTTATTTTTCATTGCTATTACTATCATTATTATTATCATCATTATTACAGTTGTGTTATTCGTATTACCTCATTTATTCATATACCTTAAAGGATGATTTACTGCTACCTGAATAAACATTGATATCATTCTTTGATCTCGTTGTTAATATTTTTAATTTTTATATATGCATATATATTTCTTTTTTCCTTCTTTTGGTAAATTGTATCATTCATTGTACACACATATCTTTATCTTTTTGTTTCAACGATTTAAGTATTTAAGTATTGATGTATTAAAATAATTATACTTCAATTTATGGGAGTGGAAGTGATCAAATTATTTCTTTATATTTTTGTTTTCGATGCAATTTTTTCATATACATTTTGGTGTGCTTCATATTTCTTGAAATATTTCAAATATTTGTTCGAAATATTTACACCATTTTTAATTGCTTTTTTAAAAATACTGCAATTATTTCGCAGTTTTTGGGAAATTATTTGGAATTTCAGAAGATAACAGTAATATTTAGAACACTTTAAGTTATGAAAGTAATGTTCGGTTAGGAATATGAATGCTATAGTAAACTGAAATTTCAGGTGCTTTGTTTATTTCAACGGTAAAATCCTTAATTGCCAACTATTACGATTTGGATGTAAGTAATTGTGTAGTCGTAAATCATTATGTGGCTGAATAAATTGTTGATTTGGTCACGGAAAAGTTTCATTACCTGCCCGTTCTTGCCTACCATTAACGAATTAACCATCAATGGCAATATTATGCATAAATTTAACATCCATACGACACATATTTATAGTCGTGAAGGGATTTTGCAGGTAATATATCGAATTACTTCATATTTTTTAGTTTTTTTTGCGTTTAACATTTCTAAATTATTTTCAATTAATTTTGACTTCGTAGTTCACGATTCATATTTGAGTGAATTATGCTTTATCTTTTGTGTGCTAAATAGTAATTATATATTTTTTGGATTATTAAATAAATAAAGAATTCTTGAAAATGTATAAAATTACTTATCATACAAGGTGTTGGATATGTTCTAAAATGTATTTATTTTATTTGTATATATATATATATTTGTTTATTTATTTATTTTCTATATGTATATATATAGAAAATAAATTGTAAAAATGTGTTTTTTATTGTAGTATATGCATCAAATGGATGGACCACCTAAACGTCGTAGTCGTAGCAGGGATCATACTGCCATTCGCGGCTTCAACCATTTCAAAGGGATTGTTCTGAAAAGTACGTTTGATTAAATTCTCTATTCATTTAATAATCTAAAAATCAAGTTTCAGTTTCGAAATGAATAATTCATGCGTTATTTTAATTACATTAATATTATATTTTTAATATTTAAATTATATATATATTTGTTTGTTTGTATTATTTATGGCTTTGATAACATATTTGAAGAAACCAAATTGAGAAAGTAATTAATAATTATTTATAGCTTTGATAAGACATCCGAAGAAACCAAATTCTGGAAATCGTAAGTGTGCACTGGTGCGTTTAAGTAATGGTAAAGAAGTATGCGCTTATATTCCAGGTGTTGGTCATAATTTGCAAGAACATTCGCAGGTTTTTTTTCCTGTCTGTATACGTCTTTTAGATAGTGCAATCAGTAAATGTTATCATTAAAGAATTCCATTTCTTACTGAATAACATAAAAGTACAACATTATGAAGACATTATTTAGTGAATAACATTATGAAGTAGTACAACTGCAAACATATTCTGCTCTGCCGAAATATTCTGAGGCTTTCAAACCTTCTTCTAGCTCGAATAAAGACATATGAAGTTCCAGAAAATGGGTGAAATTTTGATTTGGAATTCTTCTCCTCCTTATAATATGTATTTGATAACTTCTTTTCTAATCTTATTCCATATACTAGAGAAAAAGATGCAGGTAATGGTACGTGGTGGACGTCGGCGTGACCTACAAGGTGTACGAGCAGAAATAATACGTGGTAAGCTTGATTGTGCTCCATTGCGGAAGAAAGCAAAAAAAGCAGCAGCTAAATAGTCGGAAAAGTTTTGTTTTTCTTGGATATTTTCTTTTCAAAAACGTTCTTGCTGTATTCCTGTAGTATATTAATGCAGTGCTCCTCGCTCTTCTGCATTTGATTCAACATTGTTGAGTTTTGGGTGTTACACTGTCAAATTATTTTTCCTCATTTAATAAAATTACATGTGCGACCGCTAAAACCGTACGTCACCTCTCCTCCACTACATGACTTCAACTGATTGTTTCCATATTTGCTTCCTTATGCTTTTTGAATCTGGGTCGCTATTAGCGTTAACTTCACAATTTTTAACCGGTTAAGACAATCAAATCAAAAGTTCAAATTTTAATACGGCTAAACTAAATTTTAAATTTAATTTCACTCTGTGAATATGGCATCGATTATTTCCCATATGGCATGGCACGTTAATGATCATCACTGTGATTAATTTGAAACATTCATGCATCAATAAAATCAACGATTTATACAACTTTAACGGAGCAATAATGCTTGAACTTTTGCATTTTATGGCTGCGATGACAACCCACAACATCATATTTTGACATTGACGCCAATAACAATAAATGGTAACTAGTTAATTTTTGCAAAACATAAGATAACAATATGAATTGAGATATTAATGGTTTTCATTGGACTATGGTTTGAATAAAACGACTTCCTCAAGTTAGAATGGAAATATTTCCATTTTTCAGGAATATTTCAACAACTAAAGCAAAATTCTGAACATGCCAGTTTCAAATAAACTAACTGAAACAGGAAAGAGATATAAATGATTTCGTTTTGGTTGACAAAAGGAATTATGTTTGCCAAAAATTTTTCGAAAGTTCGCCTGTCACAGCAAGAATGAGGTTCAATTCATTAACAAACAATTTTAAAATAGTGTTTTGAAATATGCCGATAATTTGTTCATGAAGAGCATTAAGTAGCATTGAGAGGGGTTAACCCAGAAGTTAGGACAAATGAAAGAAGGCACAATATTAAATTGCCTTCTGTATTCATCCTGATGGGAAAAATAAAGAAATCTAGCGAAAAAAACAAGTGAGACGACAAAGTTTCTGAACCACTGAAATGGCAGAAAAGATAACATTAAACAATATTAAAACCATGACGTTTCACGTCTCCGTTCGACAATTCCGAATTTCGTAATTTATCCATCAATCTAGGTCGAATTGTCAACTTTTTTGATTTCTCCCAAGCAAACAGTGATTTCCCAAAATGTCCATTGCGTGCTGTTTCCTTGTAGATCGGTTTTAGTAAATCCAGCTCACTAAAATATGTTTCTGGTAAACCAAAATCAGAAATGTAAAATTTTCGATTTGTAAATATACTGAATCATTTCACTTGCGCGAAATGACATTACCCAAATAATATGTAGTCTGCCTAAAGTTACATATCACTGAAGTATGATGAACAACAGTATAAATGTAATGTTGAATAACGAAATCGTTTTTTTCCTACTCAATTGTTGCTCAGATCATAAATTTAATGTTAAACATTCTTATCAAATTTGTTTATCAAGAAAAGCTAAAGTTTTAGAACGATACCGAATGATGACGCCCGGTCGAAGATCAAAATTGTCATTCACAATTGTTAGCAATTCATCTTCCGTCAAATTGCTTGTTCCATAGTCAACAACCGTTATTGAGACTGGCTCTGCGATACCGATGGCATACGATACCTACAGAAATTGTTGGCATTTAACTCTTGCCATATAGTATTTCTGCATATAGAATTTCGAATTTAAAATGGTCTCAAAAAGCCTAACATATAAAAGAAAGGCGTTATTCAGCAAAAAACTAAACAGCTATGAATATTCGCTATAGTTTTTCCGTCCTCACTGAAACGATGGATAAACACTACCTGAACCAAGCATCGTTTACAAACACCAGCATCCACAAGCGATTTGGCAACCCATCGAGCGCCATATGCTGCCGAACGATCTACCTAAACAATTAGAAAACTAAATGCTGAATATAGATATCAACTATTATAGCAAGTATGTAAACAATTTTCAAAGCCTTCGGAAGGTTACCTGCAATCGATTCGAAAATTAATGCAAAAAGCGGTATATTATACCTTTGTTGGATCTTTACCCGAAAACGCTCCACCACCATGAGCGCCCCAACCACCATATGTGTCCACAATTATTTTACGACCAGTTAAGCCAGCATCACTTCGAGGTCCACCAACTGTAAAGTTACCACATGGATTCAAATAGAACTTAGTAGCCGTATCCATGAAATGTTGTGGAACTATTTCCTGAAAATTTAAACAATGGTTTACAAGGAACTGTATGCAAATAAGCAAGATCACTGAAGAAATAAACAGAGTACGTTAGAATTTATTATTCACTATTAAACTTGAATAATTTTACAAAGGAACTGACAGCTTATAAGTCGCCACCAATTTCAACAGATAATAGCAAAGCGTCAACAAAAATAAAGATGAAATCTTATCAGTTGCTCCACGACTATATAATCTGTTAATCTATAAATGCACATAATTTCAAACAAAGCATGCAAATACACACACATAAAAGATAATGAGAATTTCTATCTGCTTTTCATGAAAAAAAAAAGAACACAACGAAAAAAGCTTACATTTATCACATACTTGATTAAATCAGCCCGAATTTCTTCCAACGAAGCTGTAGCTTTGTGTTGTGTAGATATGACAACTGTATGAACTCTAACTGGTATACACGCTCCATATTCAAATTTGTACTCTACTGTTACCTGAATTATAATGGCAAGTTGAAAAAAAAGTGCTTCAACTATTGATAAGACTCCATTGTTATCTGAGTTATAACGACAAATTGAAAAGAAAAAAAATAATGATCAGATTATATTTTGCTGAAATAATTATTCGGGGAAAGAAATGCATGACTATCTGGACCATTTTTCATCAAAACCAAAGACTGAATGATCCTATGTAACTTTGTTAATATATTCTAATATATAAATATATTCTAATATTAATATTAGTATTCTAACATTATTCTAAGTCAACCAAGAATTTGTATAATTGCCGCATTTGTCTGAAAAAAGCTAAGTTGCAAGAAGATCCTTTATATATAATTCTTTATTTCTCTAATTTATCTTTAAGTGACCTTCTTCCACCAAATATTTTGACTGTGAAACAAATCTGAGCTGTATCATTGAAGAATTTTTTCTTAGCAATTTCCATAATTCATCCATTTTACTGTAGAAAAAAAGCAAGTTTTATATAGATATAAATACCTGCGATTTCGAGTCAGGCAAAGCCCATTCAAGAGTACCATTTCTTCGCAGCTCATGAAGTCGCGCTAACAGTTTATGAGCTAATAACAAGGATAGTGGCATGCGCTCTTCCGTTTCATCGGTTGCATAACCGAACATTAGTCCCTGAAAAATTAAATTTTTCACGGGAACGAAAGGAATCTGAGATTTTTTCTCATTTAGCTTTTTCAAATCAAGCACAAGTAAATGGCAGTTAATTAACTGGTAAAAAAGTTTCGGTGGTAAGGAATAACCATCATAATCTGATTCCAGAGAAAAAAATTTTTCAGTGTATTCCGCTCTTCTTTAAATGATAACGAAATAAACAACTGCACCAATCGTTCATATTTATGTTATAACTGGTGATAACTTGCAGACAAAATAAAAATAACTAATCTAAGTGCCTTTATGATATAAAATCAGAAAGCAGTTTGAGTCGTTTCTAGACAGACGACTGCAAGAGTTATTGCTCTACATCGAAAACAATAGAAAAAACAATTCTTGTTTAAAAGAAAAACAAACAAAACAAAAATGACCAACCTGATCACCGGCACCAATTTCTTCCATTTTCCGATTCAAATGCACTCCAGCTGCTATTTCAGGTGCTTGCTGTTCTAATGCAATTATCACATTACATGTTTTATAATCAAAACCTATAACAACGACGAGTTCTATGGCTAAAACATGTGATTAAAGTATTTCTTGAGAGCAGTCATCTAGATAAAATGCTGTCCTCGACGCAGGCAAGTACCCCAATGGTTTTGAGAATCAGTAAATCAGAATGCCAAATTTCTAATAATAGACCCTTGGAGGAATCGTCGAATCCTATCTGTTGCACCGTATCCCTAACGATTTGATAGTAATCAACATTTGCATTAGATGTAATTTCCCCACACAGCATCAACAAGTCCGTTTTGGCTACCGTTTCTGTAAGAAAGTAACAACTTTAAACGGACGTTAGTTTTAGCTGTTTTGAGGAAATTAACTTAGTGTGCGCAGACGGTGAGGAATCTGAAATAACAAATGATCAACAAGGAACAAATCAAAGAGCAAAAATATCATTTGAACATTATTACAGATTCATTTCTTGCTCCCTTGGAAAATAACTTATAATCGGCTCACTGTTAAACAAATAACCTTTCGTCCGACTCTTAATTAGTGTACAGTTATATCAAGCTATTTTAAAATGATATTTGAATATGCCATCTGAAAAAAAAGTATGATTCGATTTTTCAGATACCACAAGCAACTTTTGCATTCGGATCTTGCGCAAGATGAGCATCCAGAACAGCATCCGATATCATATCACACATCTTATCCGGATGACCCTCGCTTACCGATTCCGAAGTAAACAGAAATCGTTGGTTACGAAACAATTCTGAAAACATATATAATTTGAAGCTATAGAATTAAATCATCTCCAAATAAATATAACTCAAACTATCTGTTTAGTACTATATCTAAAAATAAAACTCCATCATTTCATACCATCATATACTTCTAGCCATAACGTTATGTGTTGCTAACAAAATAAAATTTAATATTTATTATTTCACCAACTAACCAGAAGTATTTCGATGCATTCCAAATCCGTCATGTGCCATTTCTTATAGATTTCTTCACTTTTGCTTATTCGTAAACAAAAAAGCTATTAATGGTTGATCTCTTGGATGATGCAAATACAAACAATAAAACAATCAATACAATGTCAGCTGAAAGCCAATCTGTTCTAAAAATTCGTTAGTAAAATGAAAAAAAAATTGAAAAAATCAGCGGAGAAAAAACGCAAACTTCTTTTGTACGTAAGAAAGAAAAAATGACACCTTCTGTTGTCATATTAAAAGTAAAGTTTTTACTTTTAACATGACAACAGAAGGTGTCATCTCGCATGATGACATATTTGACGAAATCAAATGTTTTTTAATACATTATCACAATCAATGAAAAGTTTAAAATTAATGGTAGTGCTCATGGATGTATGTGTTTTGTGTATAAATTTATGTTTTTCAGTCTCACTTTTTATTCGCATTCACAAACTTATTCGTAAACTTTCTGCTATCTACCTTTTATATGCACTTACTTTTTGCTGTTCTACAAAGGTTTCCCCACACTTGTGATATTTTGATCGGAACAAAATAAAATAAAACAAAAAAAGATGGAATAATAAAAAAAATAAAAGAAAATTACGAAATAAAAGTAGAATTAAAAATGTTTTAAAATTTCCGAATTTTTTTAAAAATGCCGAAAAATTTTGGAGGAGAACACGCTGGGTATTAAGTTAAAAGACAAATGATCATATATTCCAATGGAACAATATAAGAAAATGAAATTTTAAGTTTAGAAATAGCTAAAAGAATGATTAATAGGATTTAATTCTTTCTCAGAATTCATGAAGAAAATATGCGAATAAAAAATTTGGGATATATGGAACAATTTCAACAGATGCTGCTTTGTTATTATGAGAAGCACGTTTCGTATGAAAATATCTTCAGAGGATTTTAGATAAGTGCGAAAAGCATGAAAAATTACGGTTCCATAATGCCGAATGAGCAGTGGGAAGGAAAAAGTTTTCTTTTTCCAGGATTCATTTCATGATGAGCAATTGAGGAACAATTCATATTGAGAGAAAATCCGGAAACCGGAGGAATAGAAGATCGATAAAGATTTCATATAATCATTCTTGGAAAAGATTTGGAAAGTGAGAGAATAAAACAGAAAAACTGCAAATTTACGAAATCCTCATCACCAATCCACCCGTATTCGATCCTAAAAATTACGGTTTGGTGACAAATTGCGAAATCTCGAAACAATCTTTCGAGAGGATTCATGCGCAACATATATTTCGGTGGGGAATAAATGACCTAGTGTATGAAGGAGAAATAAATAAGCGATGAAAATTTACCAGTCATGGATGTATCATTTCCGGAAACGATACCACGAGACCGGATGCCAAGAAATATCGGCAGTGAAAACTTAAAAGGGTCAAGGTTTTGTGCCGTTTAGTACAAATATGGCTCACATAACGATATTTTCTATCTCTCGACAACATTTTTCAACATTTTCCAAACAAGTTGATTACTGTAATTATAATACTATTATATTTTTCGACATTTTTCAAACAAGTTAATTATCATAATTATAATATTATTATGTTTATTATTAAAGTAAAATTACAACGCCTCTCTTCACTTTTATGTGTGTTTGTTATTTTGGCGAAAATACATTAGACTACTTTTCTCATTAGACTACTTATTATCCATAATAAGTGATTCATAATAAATCATCAGTCTTATATTGATAAGCCATTATCCAATAAAGGATGGCATGACAGAGTACATAGTTTTTCCAAGTTCATATAATTTCGATTATTTGCAAAAAAAGGATACTGCATACAAGGATAAGAAATTGGTCCATTTGGGATTTTTTCATCAAAGTAAATGAAGTTTTATGGCTAAAATCAATCAACATTTGTAATAAAATGTGATGTAGCGCCAATTGCAAAGATAAACACAAAATTTAAAAAATTTTAATTTGAATATTTGAATAATTAAGTACTTAGGTTATGTCAAATAGTATGTCGGTATATGTTATTTAGTAGTTAGCCTCATGTTTGGGGCGCAATGATCGGAGATCAAAAGATACACTATGTAGTTAGCAAGTTGTATGCAGCTATTTAGAATTAATTTGAATTAATTGTTTAAGTTGTACTGAATACGGTAAATACATAATTTAACTACTACATCAACTATTGAAGTTAATCAAATAACTATATGCAAGTTACTAAATGTATAAGCCTACAAGCATTCAAGTGCCACAGTAAATACCCAAATACGACTAGAGAATGAGACGAAATCAGAGCAAATAACAGAGCGAGACAAAGCTTTAAACTTTTCGCGACTTGTCTATCAACCGATCGTTACCTATAGTAGCGCATTATTCCGGGTAGGGTATGGGACGGTTATTGGTCGGGGATAAGGACAGCATGAAGGAATGTTGGGAGGATATTGGGAAGGTGAAAAAAAAGGATAGGAGGAAGAATTAAACCATTGTGCCCATAAATACCTATCCTTGTATTTATGTGCCTCTTATACTTTTTAACTAATTTTGAATTTTCATTTTGCTATTTTCTTCTTATATTGGTTAAATTTGTTGTCATTCGAAGTATAAATGTTGTGAGCTATTAATAGCTGATTATATTTTAATGCAATCGCTGAAGCTTTTCACGAAGTACCATTGATTTTTTTAATGGTAATATTTTTATTAAAATATTTTCTTCGTTTTAATTGTTTTCAAAAATTGAAATAATACTGGTAAAATTCTTTAGCTGCATTATTTAAATTATGGATGAAACAGCTGAGGGATATTTGTCATCGACTGAGGAAGCATCTGCTGAAAGTGCGACAACATCGCAATCTATTCGATTATGTGATTTGTGTCGTAAAGATTCATGGAAGTATCGCTGTCCACGTTGCTCATTTCGTAGTTGTTCATTATCGTGCTCTAAAGAACATAAAACGAAATATGATGTAAGTTTTTAAGTATTAGCATTATTTCAAGGTTGGTTTTGCATTTCTTTTTTCCATTTCTTTTTGATATCGGTTGCTAAGGAAAGTTTCTTTTTGTTTTAAATTGTTTGCTTTTTTTGATATTAGCTTTTGGAAGAAATCTCATTTATTTTAATTTACATCTTTTGTGATAAGGAGGAAGGATATCATTTGTTTTGGATTACCGAGAATTATTTTCATGTTGTAGTGTTCTGGTGAGCGTGACAAATCATTTGATATTATCAAAAGGCTTGTTGATTATTCGTCATCGGTAGCTGTTGATGATGAAAAATTTCTCAGTACCGTCACAGCATCACTGAATAATGCTGAAGAACGTTTGACAGGAATAAGCCATGCAAATACACTTCATTTTGAACAACAATTAAAAGCAAATGAGAATAAGCCTGAAGTTACTGCTGATATTTCAACAGAAGAGATCATTGAAGCTCATCATGAACAGCACTGCGCAAATGGAATACAAGATAATGGGAATAGTCTATTGGATGAAATCAATGAGAAAAAAGAAGTGACATCATCACAAGTACTTTTTCATTTGATTTAAAATAGTATTTGTTAATTATGATTCATTCATGATGGTTTATATATTTGGAAATGTCTATTTTTAATGCTTTTTCTGCTGATTTCAAAGAATTACTTAAGTGATTTCACTCTTTATTATTTCACTTTATTGTTTTTAATTGTAGATAGTTAATGGAAGGGAGTTAACAGTGGAGCATTTGGAATGGAAAGCTACGGTTACGAAGCGTTACTTACTCAACAATGCTCATCGGAGGCGTATTTGGCTTACTGTCACTCCTGACAAAGGTTCATTTTCATTCGTTGATTCTAATGGTTTTTTTTTTTTTAATTTGTAATCATATTATTTTATGCAATCAATTCTTTCTAAATTTATGTATTTGATGAAAATGATGTTTCCCATTTTCAATTTTTCTTTGAAATTATATCATCTTAAATTAATGGAATTTGAGAAGGTAACTGCTCTCGCCATGAGCAATTTTCGGATACTATCTTCTGGACTATAAGAATAATTTTTCGTCGGGAAGAACAGGGTGAAGCTGGAAAACAAATTGTTGAAGATGGATACACAGTGAATAATATTCCGGAAAGTATATCCGTAGCAACACTTCTGCGACAATTCATCAAACCTAAAATGGTTCTTTTTCAAAATTTAGTCTCTATGGTATTTTAAATCATAATAGTGACATTTAACTCTTTGATGAGTTTGCATGCTTTTGCACTTTACGATGGATTTAGGTCTTTTATTTTTTGATTTTTTCGATTAAAATAGTATTCAGTCCTTTGTTTTCTTCTTAGATTATTTTGGAGCACTCGTTAAGATTCGTAAGAAGTTGTATTACTTTGCTAAATTCTCTCAGTTTCACTACGAGACTGAAAGTTTTGCTGAATATGATTTTGCAGGTTGGACCAGTTGTTAGTAAGTCAGATCTTGATGCTGAGAAGATGGCACCTTTCCAGGAAGCTGGTATGGATAAGCTGATGGTTTATATGCCTGTGCCTATTGAAGGAAAACAACGGTAATATTATATTGAAAATAAAATGTATTAATTATGCTAGTAGTTAGCCATATAGTCATGGGCTTAAGTTTTTGGTATATTAATTAATTATGAAATGGTATTTGGAACTGTAACAATTGTCCTTGAGCATTATCAGTATATTATGCTAGCATTTGTCTGATAAAGACATTAACTGAGAAGTTTGAGAATTCTTTCACTTTTTTGAGAACTTTCTTAAATTCAAATCGTTTAAATTTTTTGTCGAGTTTTTGGATTTACTAAAAAACTGGAAAGAAATCTTTTCTGCTTATTTTTACTGAGCAAAACGATGAGTAATTTTATGTTTTTCAGTTTTTATGTAATAGATCCTTCAAAGACGATTCTCGATAACACACGAAATCGTTTCATTTTGGAGCATCCAACTTTCATCGTTACATTGAATAATCAGTTTAACGACTATGTTATGCTCAGCGAACAGGAAGCACGAGAGCTTCGGGAATTGCAAAGACAGAAAAATCGAGATGAAAATCAAAATGTTGTGCAGAATAATGTATTTTTTTTCAGCCTTTTTTTGGAACATTCAAATAGTCATTGTGACTTCTATTCTAAATTTCACTCCATACTCTTTTTCTGGTTATTGTAACAGGAAATTAATCCTTAAAAAAGATTCAATTACATATTAATAATACTCGTTTTTTCCTAATATAATAAAGTGCATCAGTTTTTTAAGTGATCGTTTTCTGACATTTAGCTTCGCGGAAGAGGTCGCTTTGATAATGGGCGATTTATGTCTCGTGGACGAGGTGGTGGACGGGGAGGGTTCAAAAGGCCGTATAATTCGCCGGATGGTAGGGGCGGTCGGGGATCAGGAAGACCGTGGAAGTGCGGTCGACAATTTCGAGGCGGCTATCACCAAAAGCGTGATTTCTATGAAAGGTGATCATTTCAACTGTATATCAGTTGCACATGTTATACTCGCTGTCTTGAAAATTATAACAAATTAAATTTTTGCTCACTGAAGAAATTAGCTGTTCCGCGAGATATTTGTGCAATCTAGGTCAAGCTCTTATTTTTCGTGGGACTATTGTTTTGTATGTTGCTCTCATGATGATTTCTTCTTCGCCAGTTTCGATAGTTTCGTTTGCCTAAAAGATTTCTTCATTAAATCGCTCAATTAAAATGATTTCAATACGAATTCATTTTCATGAACTTTTGCTCACTGCAGGAATAATGATGGACGAGGTGTGTCGGGAACTCCAAATTTAATGCAGGATTGCGATTGGCGTCCACCGATTCCCTCACAAGTAGGAGATCCAATTATGGACGCGTGGTCAAAAGCTCTTGAGGCTAAAGCAAAAAAGGAAGCTCTTCCAAATATCAATAGCTCAAGCGAAGTTCAAGCTATCTCATAATGTTTTCTCTCTTTAGTCATATTTCATGTTGTTTTTTGTGTTTGTGTATGTTACAGGGTTTTATTTTGCTGTTTAAATACTTGTGTTTTTAATTATTTTTATTAAGTTTCATTTTATTCAGTAAAGTTTTACTTTGATACAAATCACTAACCGCAAAAGACAATCGATATGATCAAACCATATGCTATCCTGGCTTGAAAATTCAAATTGTGCATGTAACTGCAGTCAACTTTTGAATTTGTTTCATTTCATTCTGCAAAATGAGAGATATGATTTATCAAGATAATGAAATCAGTTTATAGTTTGTCAATTGGTTTACCTTTTTTAACGTATTTTATTTTTTGCATGTAAAAAATAAAGATTCAAAACAAATTATTCGCTTTGTCTTCCAAGGATATAATAACTGTGCTTAAAACTTCGATGGCGAATCTGAAATTTCGAATTTAATTTCTCGAGAAACACAAAAAACTTTTCAAACCTAAAGAAGGTTGGTTAAATTGATTTTTTTTTCTAAGAGAGAGAGAAAAGTGTTGGTAAACGAGCAGCAACAACAACAACAAACCGATGGCATTGAATAGGTTATTGGCTATAGCAATTTCAAAATATGTTAAATGCAGATTATTAGTAATGTATGTGCGAATATTTGTGAAGAAAGAAAGCACGTAATTTCGCGAATATTAGTACATCTATGTAAGGCATAAGTAATTCCTTATGCGTTATTTTACTAAAAAATTTAATTCATTTCATATTTGATTTAATTTCATATTCCGTCAAAAAAAATTTTCCTTTGAAAAAAAATTTATTTCATATCCCATTAATAAAATCTCATGTTTTTTAAATTCTTGTAATTTTAAGTTTCAGAATTGCATGTATTTTGAAACCAAAAATAGATGACAATTTCGCATGAAAAGAAACTTTTCGTTTAGATCGCTCTAACAAATTACAGCAAAGTTTTTAAAAACCTTCCAGCCGTTTTTAAAATGAATTTAGAAGAAGAAAAAGAGAGACAAAGAAAAGAGGAAAAAAAGGAAGGAAAATTGATTTAATAAGAAATTTCATCCTTTACATATTACATCATGTATAAAAGCAATTTCCATAGTATCAATTTCAAAAATTTCAAAAATATAATAAAGCAAGTCGATATCATCCTTCCAGCATCATAAGTTGCTTAATCTAAACTTGATACTAAATTATTTATACTTCCATAATTAAGGTTCAGTTACGTGAAGGACGATAATTCGGTAATAGATACAAAAATTGAACATTTGAAATTTAACTCTGATTTAACACCATTTAACGACCAAGAAATTTTATGACAACGGTTTTCAATGATTTATACATAAGATTATAAAGCCAATACCACATTAACGATTTTGTAGATTCTAAAATGGTTTTCAATTATCGCATCAAAAATCATCTTAGTAGAATAAATAATATATACGTTCGATTTTTCATCATGCAATCTACATAATCATAGTAATGCAAGTTCAATATTCTATCATGATTCAATATTCATATACTTTAATTTGCATAACATACATATAAGTTTTTTTTTACCTCATACCTTTTAGTCTCTGTATTACTTGACCATATATGTTCAGTTTCACGTATAGAAGACCTAAACATTTTGCTAACTTCTTTCGTCATATGTTTTAAGTTAATAATAAAATTATCCATCTACTTCCTCTTTCTCATTTGTAATAATCAAATGAAACTTCACGTCATACTTTACATGCAATACTTGACGTATAATCCATTTGATATACGAAATTTGCATATGTCTTCCTTTTGCCTCTCTCAAAGAAATATACATGTATGGTATGCCAAAACCATCATTGTTCCAAGAAGTTGCACGTCGATCGGGTTGTCTTTGTGGGTTTCTGTTTTCTACGTGACTAATACAACTATTATAAGTTATTTGGAATGGCTTCCTTAAATTACTTACTCTAGAAAATAATGGAAAGTTAACGTGCATTTTTTAAAGTTTCGTTCTATTATACTTTTTTTACTTGTCCTTTCTTGAATTTAAGCATAGATTTTTGTTTTCTTGGATTTATAGCAATAAAGGATGATTTCATGTAACTTTTATACGATAATTTTTGCATAGGTATGCTATATTAGGTATTGTACTATTTTCGTCATGTGACATTTTTCACGTACACATGCCTTATACACTAAGTCTATGCTATTTTGTTGTATAAAAAGGTCGAATTTATTTATTACTGTCTAGTCACGATTTCTGGAATTAATGTAAATAATGAGATAAGCTAGATAAGCTGCGATAAATGTCTCTTAGTATATCCAACAACGTACAGTGCTTTATTCCCATATTTATTTGAATAATGCAATTTTTTGTCGGTTTTTTTTTTTAACACATTTTTATTTCTCTTAATTTTGTTTTGAGCTAATTTGCGTAAACAAATGATTAAACTTATAGCAATATTTCATTTCTAAACTATTCAAATAAGTAAACAATTTTCAAATACCTAAACAGATAGTAATTACTAAGCAAACATACAAATCATTATAAGGTAAGTGTAATTAATTATAACACCAAACTTTGAATTATTAATTCGAAAGAAATAAGCAATAATTTTAGGAGCAAATAATAATTATAACAATTAATGGAAGAAGCACAATACGTTGTATCAAAGCGAAATACTGAAATTCGACGTTTTAATGAGAAGCGTCGTAAGAGGAAAAGTAAAAAAGAGAAAAAAGAAGATAAAAAATATTCAAATATTTTATTTTCATGTGTTACCGTTCGACAACTTCGTAATTTATTGAATAAGATAATTCTTTTTCTTTTTTTTTTTTTTTTTTAAAACAATGCGCATTTAATTAAGAAAATTAGCAAAGTTATAATTTGAATTTAGCTTATATTAATCATAATAATAAAATTTCTTTACAATTTCAATTTAATCTTATATATATATTGCAGCAATATAACTGAAATTTGAAGCTAAAATATTATCGCAATCCGTTGTTAGAGATAATTTCAAATTGAAATTTAGATTGAAAAAGAAGACGAAATAAAGGAAAATAATGAAAATGTTAATATGGAAGTTGTAGATAGAGGAACAGTACGACGATTGGTTGCCAATAAAACAAGACAGCTAAAAGGAATTAAAAGACAACATTCTAGTTAGTCTTAGTACTATCTAGTTTTGTGTTTTGTTTTAACTCTCTCTCTCTCTCCCTCTCAAAAAAAAGCATATCTTATAGATTTCGAAATTTCGTGAATTATGGGAATATAGTAAGACCAAACTATTTATTAGCATTACTCATCCTTTTCTGTTAATAATTGTAAAAAAACTGAAAATAACAGAGTGGGATATTCATTTCTTTTCGTTTAGCAAAAAATAAAACATACGTGGATTTCTATAATTTTATTTTATTCATATTTATTAATAGACAATATTAATTAATTGCATTAAATATGAATTAAACGAAATGGTTTCCTTCTTTAAAAAATTTGAAACAACAGCTGAAGTACAAATTCAGCTTATTTATTTAAAAAGTGAAACAATGAATGGTTAAATTTTTGTTTCAGAATCAGATCAGACAGTTATTCAAAATGTAGTTCACGTGAAAACATTTCCTGTTGCAGCCATATCGATGGGTTTATTCATTGTATGCTTCATTTCGCTTCTCCAACTTATTGGTAGATGGGATTTTTCCCGTTAGTATTTGGAGTTGTTTTTGCCTGCTTGTCCAATTCTGGTTGATGCCATTTGAAGCATCGGTCTGATGTTTTTTTGAAATTTCGAAAACATATTAAGATACTGAAATTTTATGCCTTTTTTTTTGCCTTAAGCAGGAGCATATTTTTTTCAGTAATTTAATAATTTAAATTTAGTAATTCAAAATTCTAAGGATTTTAAAATCCTAATGCAATTATTTTATTTGTTAGCGAAGGTATTACTGGGTTCAGGAAAAAGAAATTCATTCGCAAAATGGAGATAGCTCAAATAATATCCCTTGATTTTATTTTTGTCATATCGTTAAATTTTTCTTTAATTATATCTTAGATGAAGTTGATCTATTTAATTTTCTTAACTTCTCAAGGTATCATTTACACAATGATTGATTCATTTAATTTTCAGGCAAATGGTGGCAACATGGGTGGATCAAGTTGCAGCGTAACGTTTTGCTTTTTTTCCCGTTATTTGCGTTACGATTTCTCGTATAGTTCCGGTGTTCTCTCATATAGAGCCGGTTACAGGGTCGCATTCAATCATCTGGAAGCGATTAATTTTCAAGGATATTATGTGAATTTCAAGGTTAATCCTATCTAAAGCTATTTGCTATTTTGACGATTAAAAACACTGATAACGAATACAAAGACTGTTCGTTAATTTAGGGTCTCTTGTTTTTTTGATTTGGCAAAACTATTCGCTCTGATTTGCTTTGGTTACTCATTGAAGTTATCTGTAATTTCATTGCTTCTCTTACTTGTTTGAAACATAATGTAATTTAGTTATCACAACCAGCAGAGCAAGAATACTGTAACCGAGAAAGTTTTTCGAATAACAAACGTGTTGTGGTACCGTGTAACGATTTTGATATCACACTGGGACAATACAAAACGGCTCTTGTTCATGTTGTTCGCTTGAATAGGTTTTTCAGTTTTCCTTCTTTATTTTTGAGGTCTTTGTAATCTTAAATCGTAACTTTTTAAAACACATCAGTAGTTTTTTCAGTCATTCTTTAACTCAAAACTGCATATATTCGTCTGATCGTTAATATTTTGAAGTGATTGAGTAGAATGTAAAGTGATTATCTTTTGCGTTTGTCGCGGTGAGCTTCGAATAGTCTAATAATAATTATTAATCTCATTAAAATATTTTTGCAGGGATGAATCATCTATATGGATTTATCATTTGCTTGATGCAGATCGACAATTTTTCAAACCCATAATACGACGAGTAATGCTAAGCGGTAGCAGCACTTCTAGTTATAGTACTAGTGCTGGATCTTCGAAGAGTTCATTATCAATGTTTGCTACAAATCCTGCAACAATGTCTTTGTATTCTAATCATTCTGATCCCTATAATTTTGTTGCTCCAAAATGTTTGCCTTCGGTATCATCGTATATGACACAGTATGGTAATCTGGATAATGAAATAGCACCAATACGTTATAACGAAACAGCAAACTCCTCCTCGCTTTCCACTTCCTTCACGTCATACACCGTTGAGCAATCACAGGTTAGATTCCTGTATATTTTTTGTTGTTGATCTCTTTAGTGTTAAGTGAGAAAATAAATTCCTTCTTACAGAGTATATGTATACTAAAGATCACCGCACTACAGTCAGATTTAACTTACTTCGCCGTAGCACACAAATTTTGAAGATTTCAAGCTGCAATTCCATTATTTAATTTATAACTTAGCTCATGTGGATCCGTAATATCCACCACATGGTATCCATTACTATGTTTGATATTAAAAAAAAAGATGTATCATACTTTATCAGGTTTATCACCTTTAAAACAATATTATTATTTAATATTATTGTTCATCAAACAGTAGTTATCATAGTAATATGTCCATCAATGATGAATCAGATGAATAAGACAAAGCGAGAATTTTTACAGTCTACTACTGGTTACAATGGTGGAGAAAATTCATGGCAATCTGAAATTTTCTTAGCTCCACAAGAACCGAAAACTTCTCTGGATGTTCAACAGACTGTTACTATGGAGTCGACAGTAACAAATAATGAAAGATATGTATATGAGTCGACTGATGGAATAGATAACGATTGTGGATTGCAAATATCAGAATGTTACAATGAAGGTAATGAAGGTAATTTTCTGCTTATCAATCATTTGTAGTACTTCTTAGCAACTTTTTCAGTTATTATTAATCTGTATTCATGAAAAACGTGAAATTCTGTGAATTGGGACAATAAAGTGGATCTATTTTATGATGATCAATCGTTGATTGTTGATTATTTTTTAAGTCAAATTAAGTCATTTGAAATTTCTAATAAATTGTACTTCTAAAATTTGGAATTTTAGTTGTTTAGTGAAAAGTTGGCTGATCTTTTCAGACACCACAGAAGAGAATCAACAGAAAGAAGACAATGGTCCAAATACTATTAATTCTATGTATGTCCTGTCAGAGCCGGAACATGCAGATTCGGAATATGTTCCACAAAAATCTGACTCGCAGTACATTCTTAGTGATTTGGATATGCTTTTTCAGTAGAATTTGAAGTTTAGCAACGATCACTGAAAGTATCTGTCGATTGTGCATTTATGTGGTCTGATTTTCAGATAATTATTGTCTTGAATTAAATTTGTATCTTAGAAAAAATTTGACTTTAACTTGTAAAGTAATATTTGGCACCAATGATTGTCATGAATTAAATTAGTATTTTAGGAAAAATTCGACCTTAACTTGTGAGAGTAAGTAGTACTTAGCACCAGATAATAAATAATCGGTTGTTATTTAACTATTTAAGAAGTTTTTCATCAAAAATTTATTTTTCTCCAAATTGAGAGAATGCGATGAAATGATTCACTTAAACAAAAATCGCTTATTTTGTTGCTTGCTTTGTCTTATGTCTACGATTAAAATTATTCCCATTTTTTTAACTCCAATTGATTCGATTTGCCTACTGTGAGAATTTTAAAATAAATTTTCTTTCGGTTAATTTTTAAACAATATGAACTAATTTTAATTTTTATTAAAATCCTATTTAAACAGGATAAAATAAAAGCAAAGCATATCTGATGTTGATTTGATTATATGCAAAGTATTATTTCTAACTGGTTTTTAAATAATTTTGAAATTGGAATGATTCCTTCAGATGATTCATTTAATTTCAAATACATTCATAATTCATTTATTCTACGCTAATAGAGAATGAAAATTTTATTAATTTCATGCATATTATACATAAAGTGTTACATCTTTTTTGTATTTGTTCATATAAATACAACAAGAAAACATTTTATTTACTTTTCTAATTACTCTAACACTATTCATTGATTAATAATTAATGCTTAAGAAAATGGATGCAATTCAATTATATGTACATTAGCTCTTAAAACTTTCCCAAAAACTTTTTGCTCAAAATTTTAAATGAATATTACATAATGCTTTTGCATCTTTCTAGTAAATTAAAATTAAAATTATCTTTTGTGACTTTTTTTATCAATTCAATTATTGCATACAAAAGGATCGATGAGAAAATATTTTTGATATCGTTGAAAAATTGCTGTAATTATCTTCTTCAAAAAGAAAAGTATCGATAAGATTTTATTTTTGATATCGTTGAAAAGTTGTTGTAGTTATCTTCTTCATAATAATAATATAATAAATGATAACTTATCAAATTTTGTTTTTATTCCGAATTTAATGAAATGTAATAATTTTCACATCAAATTTTTACACATATATACCATTATTTTAATTTTAAAAGAAAAGACAAAGATAATAATCTTTTGCGAAAATTATTATCTCATATCATATTTTTACACATATATCATTATTTTAATTATAAAAGAAAAGACAAAGGTAATAAATTATTAATTATCTCGGTGTTTTCTTTTAAGATTAAAATAAAGAAATGTAAAATATTCGTTTCTTTTCTTCTTATCTTTATTTACTCAACAGCATTATCGACTGTACCGGATGTAAAACGTATTGTGCCATCATCTGTTTTTTCACATCTGCAAAATGAAAAAAATTCTACTTTCAGTTAATTAATTAATTAATTAATTAATTATTCATCCTTTTGTTGCTTTTTTTAGCAAAAAGAAAAGAAAAGTTTTCTTGAATTTTTTATGATTAAAAAAAATTTTTTCCTTTTCTAAATATCAATTCTTTATCATAATTCTTTATCATAATTCTTTATCATAATTTTATCGATTAAATGCAAAAAATAGTTTTTTTAAGGAAAAAATTTATTAAATTTTATTTATCAAAAATTATTGCAAAAGAAAATTAAGCATTCTTTAAATATATTTATGAATAAAATGATAATTTTTGAGAAGTTTTAAATTATTTAAGAAAGTAATATAAGAAAGTATAATTAATATATAATTATGTTGTAGAAGATTAATTAGGGTTGGTTATAAAAGCCTTAAATTGTTTCAATATAAACAATTGAAATGTAAAATGAACATCAAAGATATAATTGAAAAAAAATTAAACATACTTATATTTAACATTATTAACGACTTTTTCTTCATTCACAGGAATTTGAACACCATTGGTTGAAATGCAATTTAATACATCAATTTGACCACCTGGTAAGCATGTCTTATTGAATCGATTGTCATCTGTCCATGTTGAATCTTAAAAAATATCAATTAAAATATTATATTTTAATTTTAATTAAATTATATTTTAATTTTAATTAAATTATATTTTAATTTTAATTAAATTATATTTTAATTTTAATTAAATTATATTTTAATTTTAATTAAAATTTATTTATTTTTACGCTTCATTCATTAATTTTTATCCAATCTTAAAATATTGTAAAAATTTTGAAACATCGGATATTTTCCAATTAATATTTTAACATATTCTTACATACTATTTATATCGTTTTACTAAATGATATTTAATTGCTAATTATTTGTTAGTATTTAATTTCATACATTTTAAGTTACAATTTAATTTCAATTTTCAATTTCATACATTTTTAATTTTAAGTTTAGCTTAGGTTGTAAAAAATTTTTGCACATTATATATTAATGCATAAATAATAAGTTAATTTTTAATAGTTAACAAATTTGAGCAGTAATTTAATTTACATTTATTTAAATAAATAGAATGTAAAGCTTTAAAAAATTATTATTTCTTATTTACACTTTTACCTATAATTAATTTCATCTTAATTTGAATTCTTTTAATGAGAATGAGAAATTAAAAGAAAGAATTGAAAAATTTTTTTCTAAAAAAAATTAAATCAAAATTTGATCATAATTAGAAAGAATTAAAAAAATTAATGCATTAATAAGGGAGAAATAGGAATTAATCAAAAATTGAATAAACAATTAAATAATTAAATTCATTAATATTAAGTGAAAAAGATTTCGTATTAACAAACTGTACAAAAACATACGGATAGGATGACTTCCACTCTTCGGGTCAATGCATTCTGTCTCAGAGCCTGTTCCACCTCCACCCTGACGAGTGCCATGCATTACAACCGTTCCGTTTTCGAATTTTTCACATCTAGAAAAACAAGCCTACAATGGATATGGTACTTCCACTTAATTATTTCCACTTCTTTTTCTTATTGATATCATTTTTCTATATTATTTTAACAGAAATATCATCAGGTTTGTAACAGAAGACTGATTCAAAATTGTGGTACCTACACTGTATCATTTTTACCCAATTATGATATTAATACATTCGAATATTATGCATTGTTTGAATAAAAACTTTATTATATTGATGACAATCGTGGTACCTCTGTACGTGATTGTGTATACCATATGTTATTTTAGGTGAAGAATATAGATGTAATAGTATAGTCTTTTCAATTTGAATGTGCTCAAATATAAAGTGTAATTTCGTAAATTAACATTTCGTTTTATCTGTTCCCCACAATAGTATTGTTTAATTTTCTATTCATATCAAGCAAGTTCGATATGCTCATAATGTAAATTTCTCTATTATTTTAATTAATGATTTATGATAAAAGAAAATGACAAATTACCAATTCGCATTACCTCATTTCTTCAACTTATCATTATTGATAATTGTTGTTATCATTAATTGTCATCTATTACTATTATTTATTATTATTACCATTATCATTATCATTATTACCATTATTATTATTATTATTATTAACGATTAAATGTAATCGTTAATAATATCATGTTTATTGGAGTGCCACTAAAAGCATATACGTGAATTAAATATTAAATCTAATTAAAACAAAAACAAAAAAACAAAAATTAACTCACTTTATAGTATATCCATTAATTTCTTTCGTTTCACCAATTTTTATTTGTTCATCACCTATAGCAAAACATCCCACCACACTTCGTTGTCCACCTGCTTCACATTCATATAAAAATGATTTTTCACGCCATTGATCACCTGAAATTATTAATCAAGAAAAAAAATTAAATTTCATTAAATATAATTTACATCTAAAAAATAAGTTCATATTTTTGTTCATAGTTCATAGGTCAATAATTCGTTCATAGTCATTATAGTTCAAAATAGTTCATAGTTCATATTAAAAAAATTTAGTGAAAGCAAATTTTTTTCACAACATGCTTTACATATGTATGGTATATGAAATACATACATGAATTTTGTTTATTATTAAGAATATAAGTAATTTAAATATAACGAAATTAATAAATACCACGTTCATGTTCACCACATTTAGCATTAGCATGTAAAGCTTTTTGCATAGAAATTTGTCCATCACTATTTTTCGTACAATTCCATTCGTAATTTCCATCAATCACACTTGAATTCATTGGTATTGTGGTACCCGATGGTGTCTTACAACCAGTTACTTCAACCATCCACGATGTTCCATCTTCAGCCATACGACATTGCATTATAAATGCATCTTTTTCCACCTGGAATTTGAATTAACAAATTTTTTACACTTAATTTTAATAAATCACGGATTAAAAAAAGCTATGATATCAATTAGAAATTGTTGTTTAAATTAAGTTAATTTAAATTATTAGAGAGATAAATATTGTTGCTAATACGATTTAATAATATCTTTTAATTAAATTGATAATTATGCGGAAAATGTTCAAGTTTTTTTAAGTTTGTTTATCCAAAACTTTCTCTCCAAAATATATAACTATTTCAAAATTGTTACTAAAATCGCAAAATTAATGACAGCGTATGTTTTACTTCAAATTCAATTAATTTATTCTTTGTTTTCTAAAATTTTTCTCTAATATATATTTCATTACCATTCCATATAATCGATAGTTTCATCAATCTTTACTCATATGCTTTAATTATCCTTTAACATATCACTTTAAATAAATTATAATTTCCAAATACTCAAAAACTACAGCAAGTATTTGAACAAAATAGGATAACAAAACGATCATATAATAATAATAATGATAATAATAATAGTAATAATAATAATAAAATAAACAAACCCAAGTATCGCCATCCTTGTAATTTTTACCATCATGTACGCATCCATTTGTTGGATTAATTAGGAAGAATAGGATTAAAAAGATTGATACCATTTTGTTATTGCTTAAATTTAAAATTCACTCAACCAGCCTTATAACACTCTCCTCTAAACAACTGACACAAATTGATCCATTCCAACCTCTTTATTTCCTCTTCCTTCTTCCCTTTTTCAACTTCCTCCTCTCTTCTTCTTCCCTCTTTTATCAATCATTTCAACCTTTAAACTTTGTTTTTGTTTTTTTTCATAACAAACTTATCTATGTTATATGAAACAAACTTCAATCTAACTTACTGACAACTCAATCTATTCCACACATACATATCTTTTTTCAACATTTTTTTGTTTCTTTGTTTGCTTCGTATTTAATGTATTAAATTGAATGATTTTAATTATCAATTTGTTGCAAATTAATTGCTATTTACAATCTATCATTAATAGCAAACAATTGTGCAGCTTATTATTAATAAATAGCTTAAATCAGTAAGTATTTAATTTTTATTAATTCTTTAAATTTCAACTTTTCTTTTTAACAACTGACACAAATTGCACTGTTTACCAATTTTTTCATCAAAAACACATCTATTTGTTGAAATAAAAGTTTTCTTTAATCAAAATTATTTTCCACTCTTTTGCAAATTTCATTTTATTATTTCACTTTCCCCTAATTTTATCAGTGAAATTATCAGTTGGAAATTATCAGTTGGAAAGCATTACAACAATTATTATCATAAAAAGAGAAACATTAATTCTAATTAGAGTAATTTGCTGAAGAAGATAATGATTGGAATCAAATTTCATTTTGTTATTGAGGGAGAGATTATCATTTTATTGAGGGAGAGGTTATCATTTTTATTGAGGAAGAGGTTATCATTTTATTGAGGGAGAGATTATCGTTTAATTGAGGGAGAAATTGATTAAATTTGATCAACGTTATTAAACTATATCAGAAATATAGCGGAAATGGGATGGGGCGATGAATGCAAACTTACAACGTTTAGATTATGCGACTGACCTACCTTCTATACATTTACAACGATCATTCCTGATAAAATCTTGTTGGATACGTATGGATATAGATATATGAGCGTAAAAAAAGAAAGGCTGACGTAAAGAAAGATCTGATAACAGTATAATAATTGAAATATGGCTGATTATCAGACCGGAAACATTTTCATTTACGAATTGATTTATAGTAATTTAATTATTAAAGATAAGCATGATAATCAAGGATGAAAAAAAAGAATAAAAATTTAACCAAAATGATGTATCATTACTACACATACTGTAACATTCATTAAATTATAATTTATGCAATAAATTAATTATACAAATAAAAGTTTTATTTGCATAATTAATTATTTTTATTATTTAAACATAAGTATTTTAAGCCTCGCGATAATTATCAATAATGGTACTTAATATTTGATATAAGATTATATAATTATCATTGCTAATAAAATTTGCATAATAATGATATATTTTATGCTATTTCTTTCTTACATTATTGTTGAAAAATTTCTCACTAAAATGAACAAAATAAACCCATATCTTAGTAGTGATACCAAATGTGCATCAAAATATTAATATTGAAATTATCACCTCTATTGCCATTGGTAATTAATGATTTAACTCAGTTTAATTTATCATCTCACATAATTATAATTGCATAGTGATATATATTCAATATCATTTCTTTCTTTACATTACCAATCAATTAGCATTTTTTTAAATTACCAAAGATAATATGATGTGATCGAATGAATAAGTATGAATTTGTAATAGCAAAATATTAAAATTAAATGTTATGCAATGAATAATAATTATTTTAGCGATTTATTTCAATTTCAATTAATTGTAAACTATTTTTATCTCATTAAACGTACATAACTACGTGAATAGTACGTGAACATATCACGTATAGCTGCAATTATTACAATGTTTTTTTATTTTAATATGTAATTATATTTTATAATCATTATGTGAAAGACAAATAAAAATATGATTGAGCACATTTTGGCATTTATCGCGTTGTACGTATGACGTAAATACATCACGTGCGACTACATACTGTAGGATTTCTCCATTTTTGATAAGTAAATACTTATGGCGGTCATCATATAAAAAATCACAAATTGAGCAAACTTTGGCTTCATTGTATGTGTGTATTACTACGAATCTACGATAATTATGTATCGTATCCTATTTTTCTTTTTTGTTATAGCTATAATAATATGATTATTATATAAATATACAGCCAAATTACGCCATGATCAGATACATCTTTTATAAGTGCAATTTTTCACTTTTTTTTATTCAACAAAAAGTTACTGATAGAGGGAAAAAATTGAAAAAGTGGCCAAAAAGAAAAGTTTAAATTCAAAAATAAAAACAGCATTTAAATTTAAAATTAGAAATGTTGCAAATAATTTGGTTAATTAATTATCCAGCGATAAAGTGAAATATGTGTGAAATTAATCCAATCACTATTTTCTACTTGATAAAAATTTTGCGATCAACATATTATTATCTCTTTATCAATTGTAGAACAATCTTCATCCACTATATGCATAATTCAACTTCTTTTTTTACAAAATTTGCGAAAAAAAAATGACCAATTAGGCGACTTAAATGTAAGTAAACGCGATACGTAGATCGGCATGCTGCCAGCAAATAGCCGATTCATTTCCTAACTGCAAAATAATATCAATAACTCAAATGAAATGTATAACGTAAGGATTGATTGGTTGATTAATTTGAATGAAATTATTTTATTCAAAATATAAAAAAAATAATTGAGACATTAAATTATGAATTCAAAATTTTCAAAAATCATAGGAGGTCTAAAAATGACAACACGTGTTAGTTGTTCCGTAACAGTATCTAAAATCTGCAATAGCCTTGATGCTGGCATATCACCACGTGGTCGTGGTAAATTAAGCACTATCAGATCAGCATTTGTTGACTCTTTTCTTATCAAACTATTTAATCCAAGCGGTGGTTCATTCTGCAACAAATTTAATTAAATTAACTAAAACTGGTTAAACTTTATAATATATTAGGGTTAAAAATCCAATGATTACAAATTCGTTTCAAATATTCAAAATTTCTTTTACCACTAATCTTAACCTATTTAAAATCATTTTTGACGTTCAAATGTGTGAAGATTTGTTTTGCATGAATTTATAGGTATCGATGCGAATTATATTCACCTTATATATCCGCCGACTTTTTGATTGTTCTTCTTGCTGTATTTTCTCACTAGGAGTTGAAAGTTTAGCAGCTAAAATGATTATAGAAATAAGATTTCAAATAAGATTTATTCTTAATTTAATTTAAAGAAGAAAAAAACGGCGAGAATGAAACATTCCATACATCCATATGCTCCAATATCATCGGGAGGAACAGGTCGAAATTGTATACTATCAGCTTCCAGCGATGCTTGATGAATCCGTTTCAAAACGTAATCTTTAACAACTTCAACTTCTGTCTCCTTGATCACCGCAAATATCCGAAGTCTAAATGAAGTGTAATTTTGTTCAATGTATTTTTCTGCTTAATTTTATTATTGAAATTTTTGTAATTTGAATTTAGAAAAACCGACTGAAATTAACTCATGCAAGACTTGCATTCTGCAACAAATGTTGAATGAGACTTATTGTCTCTATTTTTGACTCAATTTTTGCTTATTTATTTTTAAAAATAAATTTGCACATTACTTTGTAAATGTCCATCGATAATTTCTGCATATAACATAAATAAATGATAGCAAAATATCATCACTTTCCACAACCCACCAGAAGTCCAATGTAGACTGCAAATTTTCTTAACCATAAAGGTCGAATTTCAAACTAAGTCAAAATAAGTCTTACTGATTCAAACTAAGTCAAATTAATTTGATTATTATTGATTTGGTTCAAATAAGTAAAATCAATAATAAGTCAAATTCAAACATAATTGAACAGGATTTAAATTATGAGGAAAAAAATGTTTAACTCTCTAAAGATATATGTTTGTTATCAATGATGGTTGTCAGTAATAATTAGCCCTAATTTTTAAATCATCAATCTTGTTAATACACTTCAATTGACAGTTAAACTTAACAAAATATTAAATGGGGAATTATTTAACTGCTTTAACACGTTCTTTTGTCAATTATACAGCCCACATTCTTAAATCTCATGTATTAATCACTGCTGATAATATATATAGTTCATTGGTTAACTTTAATTGATAAGCTAAAATAACAAGAAATTAATAGAGTAATTAAATAATTAATTATGTTATTGAACCAATAATTATATTAACAATTTTAAATAGTTAAAACTAACAGCCAAATTGAATGGTACCGGTTTCCACAAATCACCTTTGCATATTAGTAGGCATTTATCCACCGTTGCAGCAATTCGATTCCATAATTCACCCTGTCCAGCATATAAACTACAAAGTAGCAGCTTATTAAATTCAAATAATCAAGTTAAATTTAACCATCTTTGAATCTATTTACATGCAATAATTATAACTATTCGTTAATTTCATACAAAAAACAATTGTAATAAGCTATTTGTTTAAACAAGAACACCAATAATTTTAATAGTTTTTTAATAATTTTTCGAACAATTTTAATAATCTCTTCGTATTATCACAAACACAATAATACGTTTATTGTTTAAATTAAATCACAGTGAGCAAAAAGTTAAGAAATTCTGATAAATCTGCTTATAATATTTTGCATTAACTATTTCTAGCATAAACTATTTTTTTGAGCACATCAAGCTCATATCAAGTTTATATCAAATCTGATAAGATTATAAAGATAGTTTAGTGTATATTATGGTATATTTATGTTGATGATTTATTTTTAACCAATGTTTAAGCTAAAGGTTAGGCAACAATTGTCCTGTCAATTTCATTAATTTTTGGAGTTAATATCATAATCCTACACTTATAACCAAAGGTTAGGCAACAATTGTCCTTCTGCCAATTTCATTAATTTTTGGAGTTAATATCATAATCCTACACTTGTAACCAAAAGTTCTTTAATTCGTGCAATCGTAAATAATTGTGTTAAAATGAAATTTATCATTAAGAAACTTTTTTATTCAGTCATATTTGTAATTCAATTTATAAAAAATTATAAATTTTAATTTTTTAATTTTTTATAAGAAAAAAGGTAAAAAAGTGGAATCTAACGGTTCTCTTGATACATAATATATTTGTAAGTGCTAAATTTCATTTTCTCTATTGAGTTCCTTTGAAATGAAAATATGAAATGATGTGAAATTCTAATTCTCTCGAAGATGAAAATATGTAAAGTAATTGGTAATTTTTTAAATTTCAACTCTTCTTTTTAGTATAAAAATGTATGCTACGATTTGATTCATCGAAATTTCAATTATTTTGAAGATAGATATGCAAAAAATAAAAACAAAGGAAATTAGATATGCTTTTTTCGTTAATCTCTCTTTCTGCTAATATTGAAAGAAAACGAAACGAAAAAGAAAAAAATTGCAAGAAAAATTGCTAACAAGTTAAATGAAGAGCCACATTTCGGAAAATCGATAATAATTGTATTTGGTTTCAGGATTCCTAAACCGGAACATTGAATTACCGCTGAAGCGGTCTCATTTAATTCACTTAAATTCTCATACGATACAACCAAATGATGTGCATTAAGGCATGATTCACCAATCTGAATTAAAAATAAAGGTAAAAACGAATTGATAAAATGAAAGAATTTTGTGATGAAAACGATTTTCAAAAAACAAAAACAAAAAAAGTGAAAAAGGAAGAAAGAAAAATAGCCAATAGCCAAATTAGCCAAGAAAAATAGCCAAAACAAATTAAAAAATGGAAAAGAGAAATAGATAAATGATTCAACTTCAAAGAAAACTTTCTTAAAAGTTTCATAAAATTAAAAAAATTTTTGATCACAGGTATAGAGATATATAGTATTTTCAAAACAAATATAATTTAAACATTAAACATTATGAAAGAAATTTTTGATTAAAATATTGCTAACAATTTTTAATTTTAAAATAAGAAAATTGTAAATGTTTTATATTCGAGAGAAAAAACTGAATTATATATAAGAATAAGAAAATATCATTCAAACCAATTGTGTGACCGCACTTTCCACCAAACCTAAATATTCGCCAGTATCCGGATCTTGTGTATGTCCCTGAAAAATCTATCCAATTCTATCATATATTATTGAAAAAAGAAACATATCCGTATTTTGTGCATAAGATATCATTGATAAAATGGTAATCTTAAATATTAAACATTTATAATTACTGGAAATAATAATCCGGCAAATAAAAATATTCGTATTTTCAATATTCTTCTCTACCATAAAAGTATTACAAAGAAGAGTTGGATAAAAATTTTTCGTTCATTTAATTACTCTAAAAATTATCAAATCTTAAAACATTAAGAAAAAAATTAATAAAATGTATGAAAGTAATAAATTAACAAATACTTCACATAATACGGCAACAATATTTGATGCGGCACCATCCTTAATCCATTCTGCTACAGCAATTAATTTTTGGCAATTAACAAGCCATTCAGGATTTTCATCAATTTGCATAATTAAAATTTGTGGATACCAATGATGTTCGAAATCTTTATGACTGTAAACACAACGTAACAAACGATATGCTATATCAACACGCCATCGTTCGAAATATTCCCACCACCACCACCACATTTTTTATATTTGCATATCAACGAATGACTAAATATTTTAACATTATGATATATATATATATATATGAATAACTTTTAATTTTGAATTTTTTTTATAAAGTATAATTTGCAAAATATACATTATATTCAAATTCCGCTGTTATTAGCAATAAAAAATTATTTTTAAAATTAAACAAAATTTTTTTTAATGGATTAAAAAAGAAACAGAAATATACATATTATAAATTTTAGTTTCAAAAATTGATATTCCATTTCTTATTAAATGTACAAAATTTTCAGTAAATTTGAATTTATTATCAAATATTGCTTAGTTATTATTTAATTATTCCTTTTGTTTTTTAATGATCAGCTCTGAGGAAGAGAATCGAAAGAGCAGAGGGGGGCAGGGGATAATTAAGAGATTTCATATGAAATGCTTGTGTTGAATTGAATGAGACACAAACATAATAAGTATATATATATATATGTATATGTACAAAGTAAAAATTTTTGGAATGGTTCATCAAGACAAATTAGGATTCTAATGAATTCTTTTAATTTTAGTAATTTCCAATTTTTTCTTGCTTTCTTACTTAGAAATAAAATTTTTGAAATTTAATTGTTGGAGTAATATAAAAATTTCCAATAAATGCATTCCTTTAATTATGAAAACAATTTTATTCAATCATTTGAAAATTTTACATTTTATTTTTATAAAATATAAAAATATATAATATAAATATATAATTATATAATATAATACATACAATATAATATATTAATATTATATACATAATATAAAAATGTATGGAACGAAGAAATTCAGCATAAATACTGATATTCTTTATTTAATGAAAAAGGATAAATGAAAAAATAATTTATAATATTATTTAAGAATAATGGCACGAATGCAGTAAAAGAACTATCAATAAATATGAGTTCGTATGTAATGAATTTGCACATCATTTGAATAAAATTTAAGACTTAAATTTATAATGACATTTTAACGTTTATAAAAATATAAACCAATTAAGTTAACAATAATTAAAAAACAATCAAGCTTTTCATTTATTTGTTTTACCAGAAATTCATTATCATTCCAAAAAATATTGATAATTTCATATTTTCTATTTTTGTTATTCAATTACTAATTATTGAAGTGAAATATTATTAAATTAAGTAATAAGAAATTTATGATTGAGTCATAAAATTGTCACATTGCTATTGTTGTTTGCATTCAATGATGGCCGTGAAATTAATCGATGCTTAGCGGAAGTTGAATTAATTGCAATTAATTTTAGTGCATTATTCGATGAGAATAGCTATACTGACAGGTATTAATCATTCCCTTTTTTTTCTTGAGAATTATTTTAGTTTGCATACAAAATTACTATTCACTTTTGAATGATTTGTGCGACTAATCAGTTTGTCGTCAATAGATGATACATTGTACTTTTACGGGAAAACAATTTTCGATGAATAAATTTGATAGATAAGATGAATAGATAGCGATCACTGGTAGATATATAATGTTTTCACCGAGTAAATTGTCTTCAGATAGATAGAATAGATACATTTATCAACTCAAATTATTAATTAATAAGTACATCTTCATCATTTCAGATTATCTATCTATCTATCTATCTATCTATCTATCTATCTAATCTATCTATCTATCTATCTATCTATCTATCTATCTATCTATCTATCTATCTATCTATCTATCTATCTATCTAACCTATCTATCTATCTGTCTATCTATCTATCTATCCA